AGGGGGAGTGAGTGCTGGAGGTGGGCATGAGGAAGACGCCCCTCGATAGAAGTGTCCGCGGGTCCCGGAGCTAATGCAGCTAGAAGTCGCATTGGTTAAGTCACTCCGGAGCTTCGGTGCGCGGAGATAAATCGCGGAATGGGTCCGAGTACGCCTCGAGGATGTTGGGAAGTCCGGAGCTAAATAGAAAAAGTCTTTTAGAGCCCATAGAAGCCTAGAGGCGTGCGAGCGCTATGTCGAATAAGCTCCGGGGCGCTTGTATGATGTGCTGAATCCGCGTTTTCGGGGGTCAGACGATCCTGAGGCTTATCACCGGCTTGATGACTGGGATCGGGGATGGATCTGTATCCCCAGGGAAAGGTCCAGGGGGCTATTAATAGCAGATCCTCTAATTCTGCAGCTGCAGGGCCCGGAAAAATCCGAAAAATAGCGGAAAAATAGGAATCTGTTACTGAGCCTAGGTTCCACATTATTAGAGCTATAAATAGCATGGGAGCATCCGCAGGTAACCACAGGGCAGTAATTTGCAGCTCATCTAAAATGGGAAGAAATGCGGAAAAATCAAGGAAAAATCAGGTGATCCCCGGAGCACCACAAGCTCACTATGACATCACTACATTATGTAATGGGTTACCAAATATGGTAATAGGGCATATGGTACACCTTCAGAATTCAAATTTTGCTCTCATTATGATTCTGGGGTCTATTTCTGCTGGTCTTGTGACTGTTGAAGCATGTGGTCCTGATGGGTGACAGATGGGGATTGTACATGTAGTAGGTACATTGTACTGGCTGTCCATTGACTCAAAAAACTTATTTTCACCATCGGCTCTGGAAATGCTTTTCGCATTTTCCCACACTAATACTATGCTCCACAATGTGCCCTTCTGGAAACAAGGTCATCTACCAGTAGGCTCCACATTTACATAAGGCACCAGAAGGTTTTGAGCAACCAGTGGCTAAATGCTACTTTTGGGTAGTACTCCTCATGCAGACCCCCAGTGACTACCATTTTTGGGGTTAGGGCTTAGAGCACACTCTCCCTAAAGTGTAGTAGCATTCTAATCATGTGTATCAATTTACAGCTCAATGCGACCACCCCCTGCTGGTGTTATGATTTTCCCATGCTTATCTCATTCCATTTCCATTCCGAGCATTGCTATTGGACAGTACCTTTCTCTGAGTAGAACTTCCCATGGATGCTACCTTCTTCCCACACGTTATCTCCCTTGACTCACCTTCTACCAATGGGCGCCCTTGACTCACCTTCTACCAATGGGCGCCCTTGACTCACCTTCTACCAATGGGCGCCCTTGTATTTCTCATTTCTCTGAGTTACGTTCTCACAGGATAGCTTACACGTCCTTTCTCATTGTTCTCTTCTTTGGGTATCAACCCCTATACCAGTTACTATATATACTGTAGGGAAACCCATGTATTCCTTAGTTCAACCTCCTGTTGAATACAGCGATTACCTGGACTCTTGACTTGACCGTTGGCATTGGCCCGGCCAGACCTACCTTTCAGTACGCTTACTGAGGTAGTGACGACATAACTGTTGGCACGTGGCCCAGTTATCTCAAGACGACTAGTTAGGACATCGCTGCCTAACAGCTGGTGTAGCACCAGTCATCCCCAAAACACCTCATTCACTCCACCCTGCAGTACCCGGGATACCTGCAGGCTCAGAAACACTGGATAACACATCTGACACAGTGCCCAAGCCATATGCCACCCTCCCACAGCCATCCCCCAGGCAAGCAGTGACCAATTGCATCATTACCAGGGGAAGCACTGCACCGGACACTACTTGACTGACTGTCCAAACTGTCCAAAAACTGTCCGAAAATGCTCTCAGTAGCACCATAGCCACCGAGGTCACCTATATTTGGTGAGCTGCCCTGGTGTTACCTGTGGACGCTCCCATGCTATTGATAGCTCTAATAATGTGGAACCTAGGCTCAGCAACATATTCCGATTTTTCCGCTATTTTTTGGATTTTTCTGGGCCTTGCAGCTGCAGAATTAGAAGATCTGCTATTAATAGCCCCCTGGACCTTTCCCTGGGGATACAGATCCATCCCCGATCCCAGTCATCAAGCCGGGATGCTGGGGCAGCCAGGTTCAAACCCAGCTGGCACCTCTCGGGCCTGCAGAGCATAATGCATCACACCCTCATCACAATGCCTGGGTAATGTAATACGTTTTGTCATTGCAATGCATCTATAATGCATTATTATTACAGCAGCGGCTGACCACAGTGGTCTATGTAACAGATATCCACCGAGCGTGAGACATGCCATTGCGGGTCGAAAGCATCAGCCGAAGGGACCGTACGCTCACCTAGATGACGGCAAGACCAGAATGTGATAAGGGTGACAGTGAAGACGGCGCAGTCAAATGGTGAGGAGAAGTCAAAGCTCAAGTGCAATCAGGTGCTCGAGCGCAACTGGAGTGTGTTTCGCTCTCTTTGACGTCGACGGAGTGATCTTCGCTGCAGCGGTTTTCATGAGTGTGATGAAATGCATGTTGCCCTCCCATGGAGCACTGTTGAGATCGTGCCAAGCGTGAACACTGCAGAGCCATGCCACAATCGTCTTGCCTGATACAGACCCGGCATGCGCCGCTGCGAAGCCCACAAGGAGGTAGGGGGATGCCGGCATGCACGTTGACTCACTGACACCTTCCTCATCGCAGAATTGGTGGAAACAGAGGAGGCCGGCACCATAGTTTGTACGGGTATTGGGTTCAAGGGCGGAGAAGAGCAGTTTCTGTGTCTAGTTAGCAATGTATGGGCTCAGTTCCTGCTTGAGTTGCTGATCAAAACCTTCAGAGTAGGGGTTTGTCCAGGCCTGAAGCCAGTCTACGGCCAATACGTGAGGATGATAGGTACTGGGTGAGAGCTTGCAGCCTGCCCGCAGCTTGCGAGCCTTCTTTTGGATGCCAGATGAGTGCAGTGGTGCAACAACGAAGTAGGCAGGGTGCAACGAAGGGGTTAGTGTTTGTGAATGAGTGATTGTACCATTGGCGCGCGTGCCCATAGACGTGTGTTGTACCTCGCCCACATCTGCGACAGAACATGCTGCCGCAATCAAATGGGATCTAAACCAATGGCTTTGTGAGTACTTGGAACTGGAAAAACACGTTCAGGATGATGACGAAAAATGGACCTAAACAAGGACATGGGAAAGGTAAGGGTTGTAGCTCCATTGGGAACGCAAAGGAAGAGAGGATCCAAAGCTCCTGCGGGCCCAGCTCTCCGCGTGAGATAGGGTCCGCCGGATTGTCTTCTGACTTCACATAGTGTAAGGTGAGTGAAATATTTAATGTGTCGAGCATGACAAACGGAGAGGTTTGCCTCCCAGTTACAGCTCTGTCCCCTGTCGAAGGAGCCAATGACACCTTGATTGTCCAAGTAGACCACCACCGTGGCATCCCAAAGGCCTTGCTCCTCAATCATGTAGATCACAAGTTCCATGGCGATGCCCTCGAGCCAGCCTATACCATGGGATTTAGCTTTCCATCCCTCCTCTGACTTCCAGGCATCCCAGTGGGAATCCCAGACAACACCTACGCCCCAGGAGGTGGATGTGTCCACAAAGACGCTGAGGTCAACCTCTTGCCTGCCTCGGCGAAAGACTTCTGAACACGTCAGGCTTCGAGAGCTCGGACTCCCACCAGCATAGGTCCGAGATCATGGATTTCAGTGGCCATCGAGATATCCACTCATTGCCTGTGAACTTGGAAATGAAGTGGGAAAGGCTAGGGAGGTACGAGCACCCCCCGACATAGACAAATGCAATGTGGCAGAGTGACCCTTGGATCTGCATGGCATCCTTCATTGTGCACCGGTGTCAGACTAGGAGGTCGTTCGAATGCCAGACTAAGCTGTCGCTGCGCGCTGAATGTATCCCTTCCAGGCCTGAACTGTACCACAAATACCAGCTTCAAGCCACTACATTTGGAATATACAGATCGGCAATGGAAGGTTTGGTGGACAGTATCTTCAATAACTGGCTGGGAATCGACAATGAAGACATATACGACATTGACTTCAATCATGCAAAACACTTGCTGTTGCAAGGAGAACAGTTTCGGCGCAGCATCAAAGCAGGAGGACTGTGAATATTCAGGGCGCAGAATATTCTAGGAGGATTCAAGACATTCCACTGTTTTCCCTTGACATGACTCATTCTATGTCCATATGACTCATTCCATGCCTTTATGACTCACTCCCTTACATATGACTCATGCTATGCGGATATGACTCATTCTATGTCAATATGACTCATGCTATTCCCTTCTATTTATAGAGATGAGTCATGTTGACTCAGCCTATGCTCAAGGACCAATCACAAGTCCCCAAGCTAGCTGACTCATCCTATTTTCTCACACTATTGTACACTATTCTCTCACACTATTGTCTATGTTGCCTAGTAACCAGGCAATTCTCCCACCCTATTGTTATGAATTTCAAATTACTGTAGGGTATATAAGGAGCTCAGTAGACAGTCTTAGAGAGACGACCCCATCATAATAAGAGACCCTCTAAATACCAGAGAGCCTCATTGGT